CATACAAGAGAAATGTCATGAGTTAAAAATTTGCATCCTAACTATCTTTGCGTTAGCAACAGAGAAAACACTGGATCAATGCCAACTAGGCAGTGAAAAATATTACAAGGAGCAATTGTATATCTCCACATAGGAGACGATGGCAAGCTGTGGTTTATGAAACGTGTTCTGACTCAGTAAACACTGTGTTTGAAAAGCTGTGTTTGCTATATAGGTGTCTACTCATCAGTCAACCTTTAGAGTTCTTAGAAAAATCCGAGTCTCAGAAAAGAGGGCTATAGTAAAGCCTTTGACACTGAGAACATTTTGCTTTCGCATAGATTCAGCCAAAAACTCTTCTTTGAATATTTACACTTCTGGCCAAGATGCAGTAACAGGGACTGAATTTATCCTCTTAACGGAAACAAATTTTAAAAAGACAAAACATATAATACAACGGTTTTCATAACACTGAACATCCAGCAATGAAGGATAGTGAACCTTGAACAAGGAGAGTCCTACGACTGCCCCCACTACTGTCAAGAGCGGGCTCCAGGCTGTGGAGGGAGAAACACAATGGAACACAGTGAACTCAGTCCCTGCATTGAGGAGATAGAGCAGCTCCTTAGTCCAGGAGATCAAAATGAATATAATTTGCAGAACAGAGTGCCAGAGAAAAGAGAGTCGCAAAGAGAGAGAACCCTGAAAATCTATAGAGGGTCTGCTTTGCGGATTCAGTAGAGCACTGATCATTCTGTGCAGGGAAAGAAACTGCCCAAAGTTTGAGACCATCTGAAAGGATAGGAGGGAAGAGTGCCTCATCCTTACACAGGGCTGGAGGTGATACCTATTCCCACCAGCCAGACTGAAAAACTCATAATTCACGGGGCACTGAATAGAGTACTCAGGAAGATGAGTATGCAGAATAATTAGCTATAGAATGAGCACTGCTCTGGGCTAGCCTAACAAATCACAAAAGCAAGACCTGAAAAAAACCAAACCATATTCAAGTAACTAAACTGTATCCCAAAACAAATGTCAATAATATAGGAATACAAAAAATATATGTCATTCAAAAAGATATAATTGATAACGAGTCCAATCAAATATTACCAGGCATGAAAATAGGCAGAAAAACATGACCCATAACAATGACAAAATCAATCAAAAATACCCAGAACTACAGACATTGGGATAAGCAGATGAAGACATTAAAACAATTATTATAACTAAATTTAATATGTTCAAAAAGGTAAATGGTCACATGCAAGATGTAAAAAAGATCCAAATCAAACCTCTAAAGATAAAAACTCTAATATACAAAATGGGATTAATGGCAGATTAGATTGCAAAAAACAGATGAGTAATGAAATGAAATGAGATGAAACTGAAGACAAATGAAATGAAATGAGATGAAACTGAAGACAAAGCAAGAGAAACTATACAAGATATCACATTGCCCCAAACCCTCCCAAATGCACAGCATCACTGTGTGACAACTTCAAGTGGCCTAGTGTATGTGTAATTGGGGTTTGCAAATGAGGTGTAAGTGAAGACAAAAAAAAAATCTGAAGAAATAATGGCTAAAAAGTTTCCGAATTTGATGACAACCGTAAACCTAAAGGTCCAAGATGCTCAGTAAATGCCATTGACACACACATACACAAACACATGAAGAAAGCTATACCAAGGCACCTCATAATAAAATTGCTTAAAACAGGCCAGGCACGGTGGTGGCTCACACTTATAATACCAGCACTTTGGGAGGCTTGAGGCAGGTGGAACACCTGAGATCAGGAGTTCGAGCTCAGCCTTGCCAACATGGTGAAACCCCATCTCTACTGAGAATACAAAAATTAGCCAGGTACAGTCGTGTGCACCTATAGTCCCAGCTACTCAGGAGGCTGAGGCAGGAGAATTGCTTGGATCTGGGACTCAGAGGTTGCAGAGTCCCGAGATTGCACCACTGCACTCCAGCCTGGGTGACAAAGCAAGTCTCCATCTCAAAAAAAAAAAAAAAAAAATACTCAAAGCAGAAAAAAGAGAAAATTTTAAAAACAGCCAAAGAAAAAGACATTGCATACAGAAACACAAAGATAGAGATGACAGCAGACTTCTCATCAGAAACAATGCAAGCAAGAAGATAGTGAATCAATATTTCCAAAGTATGGAAAGTGAAAAACTGCCAACACAGTCAAATATTATGTGAAATGTCTTCTAAAACCAAAGGCAGGCCGGGCGCGGTGGCTCAAGCCTGTAATCCCAGCACTTTGGGAGGCCGAGGCGGGTGGATCACGAGGTCAAGAGATCAAGACCATCCTGGTCAACATGGTGAAACCCCGTCTCTACTAAAAATACAAAAAATTAGCTGGGCATGGTGGCGCGTGCCTGTA